CCACTTCATGACTTCCATTTACAGTTTGAATTAGATGCAAGCATCTCAAGCTGCAAGATCTACCTACACCTCCTTCCTCATAGTTTGCTAGCGCACCCTTTGATGGCTACCCTCCAATTACAGGGTTGCTTTTTGCTGCCTCGGGACATTTGTAGTTACCATTTTCTGTTCCTAGACTTCTCCTTGCCCTACAGGAGGACTTCCTGGACTTGCCCTACACAGGGATGGCTCATTAAAACCATTCAGGTCAACTTAGACACCAATTCTCAGTAAAGGTCATTCTTGATCCCTGATTTGAATCATGTCATCACCCAGCCCACTGCCTGGACCAGAAGACACTGGCCATGTTCATAGAATGCTATGAAAACCAGCAGTTCCCTGAGCAATTCATCTGAGAGTCCTGTGCCTTCTCCACCCTCCTCCCACCCATCAGTGCTCAATAGCCAGGCTAATGGAACTGGTCCTCTTCCCTGCTTCTTCCAGGAGCGGCTTGTGCTATCTGTGCTTCCTCGGTTTGTGGTCCTGGAAATGATCAACGACATGACCAATGTGGAGGATGAGCACCTGCAGCACCAGTTCCACCGCATCTATATCCACCGCTATGAGAACGTCAGGTGAGAAGCTCGGAGCCCTCGCCCTGGTTCTCCCTGTGATCTGTGTGCGCCTGGCCGCTCTCAGTGTCCTGCTGTGACTCTGTCTGCATGAATGTCAGTGCCTTTCTTCATTTGGTTGATTAATTCATTAAGTGGCGATTATTCATCAGAGTTTTACATTTCCAAATTGAGGTTACAGAAGAATGTCAGAAAATTTGATTATATTTGCTAGTTGACTTACTGCCTGGCTCCCCTAGAGGAGGCTTGCTACAGATCCAGTGGGAAAGGAAAAAGCTCTGTAGACTACAATTGGAAAAATAATCTCAAAATGCAGTCCGGAGGCTTCGGGTATAATCACATGGATTGCTTCCTTATATTCCTCACAAGAATCTTTAAAACAACTTGAAACAGAGACTACAACTTCTTTTCCTTTGCAAACATATTGCTGGCCAACCATTCTCCATCTTGCATCCATCCACCAATCATCCCTCTACGCACTACCCATCCATCCACCCAACCACCCACTCACTCACCCATCCAGTCATTCATCCACCTACCCATTAATTCACCCATCCATCGTCCATGTAATCAGTCCATCTGACTGTGAGTGTCTCTGTGTGCCCAGGAATACATTATACCTGGCTTATACTGAAAATCAAAGGGTAGACTCCATAGTGAGGAAAAACAGCTTCAGGATCTTAAGTCTGCTGTGAGAACTTAGGCAGTGTGCTTACCTCAGTCTCAGGATATTTCTTTGTAAAATGGATATTTTAATCACCACTTTGCAAGGGTTGAGGTAGACTACATGTCTGAAGATGCATACGTAACACAGGTGTCATCAGCATCTCGTTGAGCCAGACACGCTGTAGGTTGTTTCAGACATGTTTCCTAGTTGTAAGCCAAAGCATCCAACCCTGGCTGATTTAAAAGAAGTATATTAAAAGGCTGTGTGGCAGCTTACAGAATCACAAGAGAGCATGGAGAAGCAGGCTGGGCACCTGGGCTGGAATAAAAACCAGGCCACAAGGCCAGTCACACCAGAGCACCAGGCAGTTGGCATGCCACCACCACCGTCTCCAAACAGCTCATTGCTTGTGCTGCTTACCTCTGTCCCCTGACACAGGGTACTGCTGTTCCTCCTGCAGAAACTGGACATTGCTGCCTTTCCTTACTCCCACTATCTGCTCCCTGCAACTTCTTTGCACCTCACGTTAAGCCCTAGGGCAGATGTGCTCACTGGCTAAGCCCATTTTCTGTAAGTGCTGGGAGAGCAGGCTTCTGGATTTTCAGCTTATACCCTAATATTGTATTTCTTTCCTACCAAATATCTTAATGTGGAAATTTCCCAAATCTTGGGTAAAAGTCCACATATTGAACCGTTCTAAAAAATGACAACATATACCGTTCCTTCCTTCCCAACATTGGTAGGAAGGAAGAACAAGTCTTTCTGGCATCTCTAAGGGAGATGCAGGGACTCACATTTCAAAGCACCATCCCATGGCGATCTTGATTCTGACACAACCTTTTAATAGGCACTTAACAGCATTGATGTGGGTGCTTGAGGTTGCCAAGCAGCTCTTTGTCAGAAAGCAACTCCAATAGAGATGCACCCTAGAGCTAGGATCAGAAATTAGGAGATCATGGATACCAGTTGTCTAACAGTAGCACCTGTCAATCAACACTGCAATTCTATTAAGAAAGCAGAGTGCTAGCTGATTGTAAAAGGAGGCGAACCTGGGCAGGGCAGTGGGGAGTGGGGCAATTGGAGTGGGTAGAAAAGTCTTTCTGGAAGAAGGGATCCTTATTATCCTTATCTGAGAGGGTCAGCCAAATGGAAAAAAAGAAAATTTAAAAGACATGAGTTTTGCATAAGTGAGGGCAGAGCTGTGGTATGTGCTGATGACTTTCCATATCCCTTCTTTGTTGGCAAAGTGGCGTGATGATAAAGGCCAGTCCCTAGAGAGATCAGAAATTGGATGGCTCTTTTGGAAGAAAATAAATAAATAAGATATAAATGTATATGTGTTATATAAATATATAAAAATAAAATAATATAAATGGCAGATGAAAATGCCTGTCGCCATGGAGAAAGAGGGAAGAACAAAGTACCTTCAAAAAGGAAAATAATAATAACAAGCCCACACACCCACACCATCAAGTGCCACAACCAATGTGTTTGTCCTTCTTTCTGTGCTTCCTATAATCCCAAACAGCCCAAGTTACTTCTGCCCTTGCAAGCCTGAAAATGTATTTTAAACATCTTATTCTGCAGATCCTATTCCAGAGTTCACAACACTCTGAATTAAAATCCCCCGTTTCCTGCCCTGCCTCCTGCACCAGGCCAGAAGAGCGGTTTCCAAGGGAGAAGAATGGCAGGGGGCAGCCACCACCAGGGCTCTGCTAGGGGCGGCGGTGGCAAGATGCCCACTGTTGGGGCTCAGTGCTGGGGAGACAACCTCACGAGGGGCAGAGGGGGCTCTTCTGCCCGAGACCAAGCTGTTGGGTGCTAAAATAAGACCAGAGGCAAGGAAAGCAAAGCAGAGGAGGATGGTCCTGAGCCCTGAGAACAAAGCCAGACCGGCTGCTACACCCCCTCCTCAGCCCCCAAAGCAAACCGCTGCAGAGTGGGGAACAGTCTTGAAATTATTTCCAGTGCTGTCGCCCTCTTCACAGCAACCCGCCTCCTTCATTCTTTCTTCTGTGGCTTTTTTTAGTTTGTGTGTTTATTTGATGACCCTTCCCTAAAAATTGTCTCTAGTGCATTTCTAAGTGTTGATTTCAGTGCCTCCTGTCAGCAAAGGGTGTGTTCCATTCCACTCGGAAGACAACAAGTTTATAGCAAGAATGGAGAGACCTGATGACCTTAAGCCTAATGTCTCGTGGCAGCTGGAGAAAAGTCCCTAGCCTTGACCTCCGTCCTTTCAACCACCAAATGGTTAATGTACAGCTCTGACTCAAACCAGTGTTTCTATGTCTGTAGCGTGCACATCAATCAAGGGAGACTCTTATTGAAGCAAATTTTGATGAGTGGGTTGGGAGGGGTTTCGATTCTGCATTTCTGACAATCCCAGGAGAGGCCAGGGGTGGCCAAACCCACATTCTGAAAAGAACTTAATTCTGGTATTTCTGTTGACTGGATTCAGGATACAGGTGTAATAAGGCCAGACAAATTGTGTACTGGGTAGGTGGGACCCAGAGGTGACTTTTTCCTTCTATTTACATAATAGATGGAGCACACTTGGCCACACATGACTCTACTCCACTAAATGCCTTGACAGCGGGGCATAGGCAGGCAGGAGACTAGTGATGGAGTGGCTGGCTTTGTGCAGGGAGGTCTCCATAAATATAGAGTCATAGCGTGAATGAGGTCATAGATTTTAATAGATACCAAAAAGAGACAGTGCTGTTCTAAAGACCAGGTACAGCATGGACAAAGACACAGGTATATAAAGAAACCTCTGAAGTTTCAGAGAAGCTAAAAAGTGAGCAATGATAAAACATAGCATCCTGTTTGGGATCCCATCCTTCCTCTGAGAGGTCCCTGAGGTGATGGGGAGGTGAGTGGAGCAGTGTCCTTCAGTGGACAATCCCAGCTATATCACAGGCCACCGGTGAGATGTGGGCAAGTCTCCTTGCCTCTCTGAGCTTCATGTCCTTAGATCCAGACTGCAGAGCACTGTGCCTGCCTCACAGAGTAACCTGAGAGATCAGCCAAGATGGTACCCATGCAGTGCAGGCTCTGGGAGGCTCTTGAGGGCTGCTCCTGCCCTTCTACCAAGCCATAAGTGTAGAATAAGTCATCACTTTGCTGAAATCCTATGAAAATGTAAAGAGTTTTCAGAGATTGGTCATTCTGTCTGAAGCCTGCCAACTTTGCCAGCAGGGCTCACATTTTGGAGAAAGTCTAACTATTTGCCTGCCATGTTGGGTAGAGTACATGTCACTGGGCTTGAGTTGCTGAGCTTCTGTGTTCTGCCCCAGCCCTGGAGTCTGTTCTGCAATGTGCTCATGGCATCTACGTTACTGTTCTTTATAAAAATATAGACATAACCCATGAAGTTTCATTGTGCTTTTCACAACAAAGCCATTTATTTACACTGAACAATTCCTTTGGAGTCTGCCTTGCCTACATCCCCCATCCCACTCAGAAGGACCTTCAGCTGACCCACTGTCCTTCCTGATCACCTGAGTAGCCTCTCCTTGCTGAGATATTTGTTAAATACCAAGACATTCCTCCTGCCTCCCATGGCAGGAAGAGCAAAAAATCTCAGACCACAAAGACGTTTGATTTATTTGGATGGAGTTGATGTTTCTCCCAGAACAGATTAAAATATTAATATGCTTTCTCCCACCCCCACCCCTTCCCTGTTTAGTATTCTTTTTGCAGATGTTAAAGGATTTACCAACCTCTCTACGACCTTGTCCGCTCAGGAGCTGGTCAGGATGCTCAACGAGCTCTTTGCCAGATTTGATCGACTGGCCCATGTGAGTTGAATTTAATTCCCTCCTAGTCTTCTGTAGGAGTGTGGTACTGCATGTGGAATGAGGGAAGAGAAAGATTCAGCCTTCATCACCAATGCCATTACCATTCTGCATCCTGTCCCCAGGCCTGGACCCCTGACCCTCTCACATTCTGGGGACTGATGTTAGTTATTTATTGGTCTCGGGTGGGAGGTTTGTCAGATTAATTTTCCCAATTGAGAGACAGCTGATTGAGTGACAGTCATGCTGGTCTGTTCTGTTTTCCGTTCCCTCATCATTATTTCCCCCTGCACGTGGCCAGGTGCCATCCAGCTGCAGGATCAGTGTTCGTACATACAGTGATGGCCGCCTGCAGTTTCCTAGCCAACCCCAGCCATCTGCAATGAATTGCCTGTTTTCAAGACCCCGTAATCTGCTGGACCATCCCACCACCATTTTGTTCAACCTAACTTGACAGCTTTGTTTTAGCCAACCAGACACTGCCTTCATTTTTCAGCTGGCTTAATCAAAACTAAGATAGAAAACAAATGAAAGGAGATGAACGTTTCCTATCAAAACACATATTTCTAATCCTGAAGCCACTCGGGCTCCTGAGGGATAGCATTATCACCCTGTAATTTAGAGTGGGCTCTGGGCTCTCATCGGAATAACCTAAGTTTCTGCATTGTGAAGTGTATACAATCGTGCCAGCTTCATGGGCTGTAGTGAGAATTAATTAAGACTGCATCAAGTGGGAGTTCAGTTTAAGAATACCAAATGTCCTGTTCCAAGGTTGCCTCACTCCAAGGAGATCCATCCCCTCATATTCGCCTTTGAGCAGCTAGTAGGTGCTGCGCCTAGTGCTCTCTGATGGGGACATGGGAATGAAGAAAGCACCTCTTCCTTTCCTGAAGCTGACTCTGGCCAGGAGTACATGAATAGGTAGTGCAGTGTGCGGTGTGCCAGGAAGAAAGCCAGCCTGGGTGCTGTGCAAACACAGAGGCAACCTGTAACCCTTAGATCAGAGAAGACTTCCTGGAGAAAGTGACTCATAAGCTGAATCCTAAAAATGAGATAAACAAACACAATAGAACACTGTTCTGCTATTAAAAAAAAAAAAAGAATCATCCACTGATCTATGCACATCAATGACTGTCAAATGCAATACGCCAAGTGAAAGACATGAGATACAAAGTAGATAACTTTGTGACTCCACTTATGATACAGTCTGTGAAAGATAAAATTACAGAGGCAGGAAACAGAATAAGTGGTTGCAATCATGCTGGCTTGGGAGAGCGTGGATTGCGATCACAGCAGAAAAGGGATGACTTAGGGAGTGATGTAGCGCTCTGTGTCTTGATTGTGGTGGTTTCATGACTGTACACATTTGGCAAAAGGGAAGTTGTTATTGTACCTAGTGTATACACTAGTTAGCAAGGTGAAGAAATCAGGAAAGTTTGATTTATGCGGAGGAGAGCATAAGAATAAAGATGTTGTTCTGTATATGTGGAGAAAGCAGAAGAGACCCTAGAGGGAAAGTGAAAGGTAAGCAGCCATGAAGAGTCAACCAAAGGCAAACAGGGGGGTGCCAAGGAACCCGAACTCCCAGTTGAAGCTCCTGGACAGCCATCAGACAGGAGTCCGGAGAGGGAGGAGGTGGAACTGAGGTCTCTGCCCAGTAGTGGGGTTTACCTGGAGGACTAGACATTTGGGGGAAAGCAGGTATACCCTTTCTTTTGATTATGCATTGAGGATGGTTGGTATTAGTTACATGGAATTATTTCATTCTTTGTGGTTCTGAATTTTTTCTCAAAGGTGTAAAGATGAACAAAAATAGCCTTCTGATGAGGGATAGATCAAAGTCAACTTTTGGTGCCATAGTAAATCAAACAGACCCAGAGAAAAGGTGGAAAAGTAAAATTTAATCCATTATTCAACCAACATTTATTGAGTATTTGCATGTGCCAGGCACCATACAAGACTCTGGGAAGACAAAGGCAGTCCTATCCCACAGAAAGCTCAGAGTCTGGCAAGGGAATAGGACAATGATCATCACAGCAGTGCATCCCGAGAAATAAGAAATACGGATGTCCCGGGGGTCAGGAAGGGGTCATCCATACTTGAGGGGTGGACAGGAATCTGGCAGCACCCAGAGAGGAAGCCCCATGCAGGCTGGGCCAGGAGCCACAGCAGGAGCCTTTCTGGCATAGGATTAGATGAGTGCCTTTTAGGCTCCGACACTGCGCAAAGGCAGAGAACTGTGAAAACACACTGCTTGTTTAGAGAGCTAGAAGAAGCTCAAACTTGCTAGCATGTAAAGGGCACAGGAGCTCTGGTGAGAAATGAGATGGATGAAGAAAAGAAGAAAAAAATCTCAGAGGGTGGAGTGCAGCATTTTAAGGAATGGGGTCTTTGCTCTGTAGCTTGATCTTTTTCACTCTGGTGATCCTTTACAACCTGCAGGGCTGGGAGTGAAGTGGGGACACACAGCCAACCAAGTATCCATGGGTTCAGGAAGTCACCATCTATCATCTGGGGCTTGAGACTAGTGAAAATATCTTAATGAAAAAAATGTCAATAAAATTAAACAGAGACATATCATGGAGTCAACATATTATTAGTTTTGATAAGAATATTAAACTTGGTGACCCCTGGGGGATGTGTTGTCCTGTGCCGAGTGCTTTTCCTGGGTGGTCTCAGTCTGCTCTCTTTATTGTTCCCATCTTACAAAACAAGTGTCTGAGTCTCAAAGAAGTAAAATGATCTATCCAGAAGCCTCAGGAGATTGTGTGTGTGTGTGTGTGTGTGTGTGTGTGTGTGTATGATTGAAACCCAAGCCAATTGAGCATAGGAGGTTGCTCTTAATCACTAAGCCACTCCCCAGGCAAGTGGAGGGTACAAGGACAAGACGTCAAAAGGGTGTTGCTGCTCACACATGCAGCAGGGCGGGTGAGATTCAAGTGTACCCTTGATTCAAATGACCCATAGCAGTTCAGCTGAGTCTTCATTTCCTATTATAATTGGAAGAATGGAATGCAGTGCAGGTGAAGTGCCTTAGTGCAGACCAGCTCAAAATCAGTATTCCTATATCCTCACATACCTCACATCCAACCCTCTTTCCACTACCCCTACCTCAGCCCCAGGTGCCTCAGTACCTACTATTACAGGGGACTGTCCTTGGAAAGATTTGAGAAACTGCAGTAAGAATAGTTTTACTCACTTTGGAATGACAAAACTTATAGCTATTCTGTCCCCAGCCTTAGGCAAGTTACTTCATCAGCTGGGTTACAAGTTCTGCATTTGTATGAACAGGGTTCAGATTTGCATTTGTGTGTGTGTGTGTGTGTATGTGTGTGTGTGTATGTGTGTGTGTGTGTGTGTGTGTGTCTTAACACCAAAATTCTGTGGCTCTAAATGCTCCCTGGTTGCCTTGTCTTGATCCTTTGCTATAGATTTTTGCTACAGAGAGATCAGAGAAAACCCATCTCACCTGTCAATGGCATACACAGTACCCTATATTCACTGCATTATTAAACCACAGGGGTAACTTCAAAGTCTTCTATGAAAGTTCTTCTTAATTTGATTGAATTCTTCAGTGTCTGTGACTCAAGCTGCTCAACATAGAGCACTTTTTATAGCTCCCTCGACACACTTTGGTAACTTTTGCTTTTGATCTTTTTTTAATAAAGTAAGGCCTTTACTTATCCCTTCCCCATCCAAATCAGGAAGGTGTTATGAAGGCCTTAAGACAAATGACACACTAATTGTTATACTATTGCCATCATTTTACCTTAAATCTTTTAAAAAATTTTCCATCAAAATGGGAAGCAATGTCAATTTGTAAAAATACGGAACAAACCCATCGCTATGCAAAAGTAATCAATGCTCGAATGAGACTGAGCATCTTGGATACCAATACAGAAATGTTTCATGACATATTGTTGCATGAAAAATATCATATTTCAGATCTAGAAACATAGTATGCCAAATATATGGCTAAAGAGCAAGGAGAATAGTTCAGATGTAAAGAATGTGCCTGCAGTTGTGTCCATAGCCTCTGGGGAGGAACAGGGATCCGGCTGCCAGGGTGCCTATTTGAGAACAAGGGGCCTTCCAAGGGGACAGAAACCCCACCTGTGCTTTAACTTTTACCAGGACAGTGTATCCATGTCTTACTTGTGGGATTACCATTAGACGGTTCCATAAAATCTGTAGTGGTTCTTCATAGAACTCTTTTTATAAAGAACATTGGTGGCACTAATGTTTTTGAGTCTTTTTAAATTTTTTAACAAGTTTTTTTTTCTATTTTTTAAAATAATACTTGTTCATTATGTAAGATTCAAACATTAAAGGTATAGCTAACACAGAAGGTGAATATCTACCTCCCTCCAAAATATGATGATCTTTGATAATTTGGTGCCTGCATTGCCCAATTTTATCCACTATCTACATAGGTGGTTTAGCAAACTCCTCAGATTGCTCCAAGATTTTTACATCAAAGACATCAAGATGGGAGGAAATAGATTATAAGATTAACTTGGTAAGCCACAAGAAAATCTCACCTGACTATATTTTTCTTTTTAAATATCTTTTTCCAAAGCAGCTGAGCAGCATTTATTTTAATTTTCTGGTGGGGAAAAAAAAAAACTTGCTTGAAAAATCCTGTTATGACATCTCACAGCTTATAATAAGTGATTAGAAAAATGTGTTTGAAAATTGCAGAAGTTGACAGATAAGAAGCTGGGCTTCCTGCATGTGTGTGTGTGTGTGTGTGTGTGTGTGTGTGTGTGTATGTGTGTGTGTATGTGTGTGTGTGTGTATCCCTATATGTGTGGATATTTAGATATTTCTCCATATTTCTATATATGAAATATGTAGTATATATTTTGTGTATTTTGTTTTATGTGAAAAATATATTCTATATACTATATAAGCAGAGAGAAAGAGAGAGAAATAGGACCCATTTATTTGGGACCTACAGATTTTCAAGGAGTTTACCAGGTTTCACCTTTGGTTTGAAAGAAAAGTGGACCCTGAACATGAACACCTTCATATCATTGTCTAATGTTTGTCCCAGAAGATGAGAAAATCATTTCACACCCTCTCTTTCCAAAATATTCTTGTGAGGAGTTCTGACCACCTGGACTTTGCCATAATTCTTGAAGTTTTGCAAAGGGAGAGTGTGGAGCCCCAAAGTCAGTCAGGCATGGACTGGAATTCCACTTCCACCTGTAATTTGCTGTGTGACCTTGACCTCCTGGAACTCCTGTCTGTAATATGCCACATGCCTCAGGGTGGTCATGAGATAAATGTCACATTCAGTACCTTGCCAGTCATGCCCATGGCCCATGCTCAATAGCGTTCTTTCCTGGCCCCACTTAGGTTTTTCCAGAATGCTCTGGCCTCAGTTTTTGTGAAAATATTATTTATTAGGAATGGTTTTATCACATCTGGTCCAGATGGTGATTTTAAGCATCTTCTATGGGGACAAGTGGCTTTTTATATCCCTCATACTGAGACTTTTCACATCTGTAAAATAAACATGCTATCTTCTCATCTTGCCACATTCAAAATTTTATTGTGAAGTGCCAAGAGAAAAGATAAGGAGACCAATATTGAACACAGGGAAGGCTACTTCCAGGTTGTCATTGTCATTGATAAGTGAATGCACCCTTACTCTATTATACATCAACAATAAGATGGATTATTTGGGCACCTGCTAAATATGAAGGACTGAGACTCCCGTGTGGCTGAACGTCTCCACTGCTTCAAGCAGCTGGTAAAGTTGACCAGAATGCAGATGTCTTATTTTTAGATGAAAACATTTTCTGCTAAGTCCCTTTCCCTCATACCTTCCCATAGCCATAACCAACAAGGAGACAGATCTCAAAAGACCATTCGTAGATGAAATCACCAAACCCTGCCTTCCAAACTGTTTTGATCTACAAAAATCAGACTAAAGAATCAAAACACTGGCTCTCAAATTCTCCTTTATCGACAAATTCTAACTTGTGGGCACAAAATGAAATGAAAAAAGGAGCACTGTAATAAGATTTTATAAATTAAATTAAGTAAAGAATTAAATTAATTTAAATTATTTTAAGTAAAGAATTAAATTAAGTAAAGAATTTATCTTTTCTAATAATATATCTCTCAGGCTGAGGCAGGAGGATCACAAGTTCAAGGCCATCCTCAGAAACTTAGTGAGGTCCTAAGCAACTTCATGAGACTGTGTCTTAAAATAATAATAATAATAATAATAATAATAATAATAATAATAATAATAATAATAATAAAATCCCTGGGGATGTGGCTTAGTGGATAAGTACCCCTAGGTTCGATCCCTGGTACAAAAAAAAAATCATGTCTTTCATTTTTCATAAGATTCAAGTAAAAGAGAAGGTCTCTGTTAAATGGGTTGTTCTTAATGTGTTCTTGCTCTTATAAAGTGATAAGGCTAGAGAGACTATTTGCATCATTATTTTTGGCATTTGTTAATGGATTTTTCATGGCTTTTAAGCAAATTTTTTAAATTGTACCTTATGACAGTCCCCCAAGCCCTCTGATATTTTCCTTTTTAACTATCTCATGGACCCCACAAACCTGGGCACTACCACCCAGTGGACAAGGCATTCTCTAAGCTCCACTCCAGCCACAGTACTCTCGCAATCTTGGAAGAAACAACTGAAAGCGTTGAGCTCCCCTTGTTAATTAGAACTCGTGGTAAACTCTCCACAAAAGTAGCCGCACTGAGGTAGCGAAGACACAGGAAACCCAAGCTCCTAAAAATAATTTTGAGGTGGCTGTGGGTGCTACTAGAGTCCTGCAGATTGATCTGTGCCATTTAGGAAGGTGGGTGAGGCCCTGGAAATCTAACCCAGACAGGGAAGCCCCAGAGCCAGTTCTGATGCTCATTTATTTGTATTGGGAGGTTCATTTCATCCATTTGTTACCCAAACCCTCAATGAGATTAGGACAGCAGCACAATGCACACCGCTTGGCATTTCAAGTGTGTCATCTTGGCTGTCCTCTCAGTGGTCCTTGGGACCAGTTAACAATTCTCTTCTCCTCCCCTGGGACCCTGCTATCCCAAGGAGACCCCCTTCCTCATGGAGCTAGAGAGTCATAGGTCCCTATGACTTCAGATCCAGAAGGCATCTCAGAGGTCGTTTCGTCCCAACCACTTATCCAAGAATACTTGGTCAGCTTTCCGTTACTGTAACAATCTACCTGAAATCATTAACCTATGAAGAGAAAATAGTTATGTCCACACACAGTTTGAGGAGTCTCAGACCCTAATTGACTGGACTCACTGTTTTGGGGCCTGTGGCAAGGCAACGTACCATAGCAGGGAGCATGTGGAGGAGCAAGCTCTTTACTTCATGGCAGTTGGGAAGTAGTGGATCCCTGCAAGGGTGTAGCCACCCCTCCCCCACCCCCAGTGGCTGGAAGATATCCCATTAGGCCCCACCTCTTAAAGTCCCCAGCACCTCCCAACACCATCAAGCTGGGAACTAGGCCTTTAACACACACGTGAGCCTTGGGGGTACATTTCAGACCCAAACAACAGCAATAAAAAAACAACATCTTATTGGTGGATACCCTTGGCCCCAAGATGCAGCCTACCTAACCCTTCTTCCACCTTTCCCCAGGATTTCTGAAGAACTGGTACTTCTGCTGACACAGCCCTTTCCCTCTCACTCTGTTCCTTTCAGGAGCATCACTGCCTTCGCATTAAAATCCTGGGAGATTGCTACTACTGTGTTTCTGGACTTCCTGAGCCCCGCCAGGACCATGCCCACTGCTGTGTTGAAATGGGACTCAGCATGATTAAGACCATCAGGTAACTTGTGATTTCCTCCATATTACCCAGCCCTTCAATGTGCATAGAGAGAAAGATACATTACCTGCTCTGTCCTTTGCAGTATTTGATGGTATATGGTGAAAACCAGAGCCCTTTGACTTCTCTCACAGAAACTATACACTAATCAGTTCTCCTCTGTGAAACAATGGACCTGCCACCTTTACTGTTTTCTAACTATATTTCACTTTCAATTAATTGTGCCACAAGTTTGTATCATAGGTGTTCTTGTGGAGATAAAGGAACAAGGTGAGCATAGCCTTTGCCTTCAGAAAGATTACTGCAGAGTGGAGATATTAGCAATGTATAATTTCAATTCAGAACAATAAGCTTTGTGACAAAGTCCAGGTGCTTAAGGGAAATAGAAGGGGAGCAGCTAATTCAATCTGGTATGTTGTCGAAGGCTTGCAGGGTAAAGATGTCTAAACTGTTTCTTAAAATGTGGGTAGATAGCAGCAGGATCCTGAGGATAGACATGGTAGAGTGGAGAGCCAGACATGTGAGGAAATCAGGATATGTTGCAATGGCAGCTGGTGAGGCCCGAGGTGGAAAGGGGGTGACAGATGGACAGATGTCTGGAAACAGCCAGAGCCTACAGGGCCCATCAGCAATGTTAAGAGTTTGCATTTTATCTTAAAGCCAATGTGAAATTATAAGGAGAAATCAGGATTGTCTATGGATTATCTACAGGATTGTCTTAAGATCATATGTCTCAAGGCCAAGTAGATAGGTGAATATAGAGGCTTCAAGTGTCCACTCTACCATGTCCCTCTCTTGTGTAGACATGTGGAATTATCTTTCTTAAGGACTGTGGAGAGAAGAGCTTTCAGGTTCCAACTCAGAGTTCTTTTTGGTCATCCTTTGGTAAATGGAAAAGGCTGTACATGGTCTTAACTGTTCATTTGGGCACTTGATAGTGCTTCCCAAACAACAAGGATGAATTGTGATGATGTTCTAACTGATTTCAAGAGGGGCAATGGGACTGACACCAAGAAGACAGGAGATTTGTATAACTAAGTAGGTGTGTGAATCTTATTCAATCTGTAGGTAGCTTTGTGGAAAGGTTTGTTGAGCTGCACCATGAGTCAGGTATTGTGTTATGCCCTAGAAATGCAGTCATAAGCTCATTTTCCAGGGATCTTTGCCCATTAGAGACCATAGGGAGATTGGATCTATTGATTGCTTGGATTTATTGCCTATAAAATGAAGAAATAAGACCAAACATCTCCAAAATCGCTATCACTTCTGAAATGCTGTGATTTGTAACAACATAAAAATCTCATTTGAGTAGTTAAACTTTCTACAGACTTTCTATACCAGTTTGTATCTTAACCTTAAGAAGGAGAAATGAGAGATGATTTTACAAAAGAAATGAACATCTAACATCAAAAAGCTTTAAGATCCTTAGAGTATGATCACTTCTCTTTCTACAGAGGACTTTATTCCTCTGGACTATTTTATGTCCTTTCTGGAATTTGGGGGGTTGGAAAGAAAAGTGAAATTTGGATAGATTGAAATAATTCAAGGACATCTTTTTTGTTAGTTTATTAAGTACTGCTTTTCTATCCTTGGGATAAGACAATTTGGTAGTTTATTTTTTAACTATATGAGTCAGAGTCTATTAATACCAAAACAACTCCTTGATTATAATGTAGGAAACTTGAGGTCCAGCATTAATTCTTCTAGTTAGCAAGAAAGCATAGCACAAAGAAACTACCAGGAGATCTGAATTTCATCAAACCTTGGTTACAATTGGCTCAGACTTCTAGAGTTTTATTGTCAAGGGATACAGTTGGAGATATAGCTGGTGGACAGTATTTGCACATTAAGGGGTGCAAAAGAGAATCCCAGCTACATACTTTTATCAAAAATTTTATAATTTTAACCAACTGTCACTTACACAGGTTGTAATTTTTTTATGCAGCTCAAAAGTACTTTTTCCAATTGGAAAAAAGCTTGATAGAAGTTATAAAGTCTAGGACCTTCATAATATTATGTTGCAAATATTAAAATGTAATGATAATAAACTATTTATTTAGTAGGTTTTCTGGATCTTATGGTCACTTTATTTCTTTGTTGTCAGAACCAAAACCCAGTTTAAGGTATTTTCTACACATTTTCTGAGACTCTGTCCCACTTTCTGGCATTTCTTTAAAGAATTAGGATCCTAGCATCAATTCCCAGAGTACAGAAAGACAATGAGGGGCTGGTGCTGTGAGGCTGAAATATGGCATTTGAATCTTTTATCACTAGACCTCATCAATTTAAATAATTGCTTTGTTTGGGTAAGAATTACAATTTTTACACCAACACTAAAAATGATCCTGGCCCTTTACTCATTGATCAGTCCAAATATGTGGTAGAAAATTTCCTCCAATCACAGACACATCAGAAAATTGTGCCAACCTTAGACAACATTATGATTAGTTACTCCTACTTAGAGCATCATCAGACTTCAAGGCAAATGAGGAGGGGCAGAAGATGGAGAGTAGAACTCTTCAGAAATCCTGCATCCATAGAAACATCTATTTGAAATGTGTTAACTCCTTATATCCTCACAATTCCACACATCAACATACCTTCTTGAGAACTGAGGAACCCAGGTGATAGATTATAATACCTGGCACTAACACAATAATAAAAAATGATGCACTGGAAAGGGTATGAAGAACAGTTTTTAATTACTTGCATTAACTCTCCCATAGGGTCAGGCAACAAATTATGGAGAGAAACTGATTGGGAGATATTTCTGTATCAATTGAGGGGGAGAGAAGGGAGGACCTGAAATAAGGCAGTAGCTAAAAAATAGACAGGAAAGGATGGCGATGCTTCTAAGCTGTGACCAGATCCATCGTGCAAGAGACAATGTGCAACCTAGAAATTTTAGTTAAATCAAACATTTATTAATGACATTGACCTTACTTTTCAGTTGACAATACTTTGAGAATCTTGGTCAAGGGTCCACTTTCTTAAAGGTATAGTTTGTTGCTGGATGTGATCGTGGCGAATTGTCCCTGAAGGAATGACTGCCGTCATCACTGTATGAAGTGATTTAAGGGGACACACTGTGTGAAGCAGGGAACCCCTGACCTGCAGCAGTAGACCCAGGCTGTTTCCTGCATCTCCCTGGTACTAAGCATGGGCTGTGGATAGATGGCTTAATGTACAGCCTCCGTGACTGCTTCTATAAAATGGAGGTATGAGACCCCAACTTCAGAGTGTCCCTTTGGAAATCCAAATAGGTAACATGCATATAATCACCATAGACGTATTTCAATAGGAATCTTGCTAGTAGGGCCAAGTTTGGCTAGTGGAAAATTCGACTTAGTTAAGCCACAGAAATTTTTTTTTCTTTATCATGCCTTCTTTTCTGTGCTACTAAAATAATGATAGTAGCTTGAGTTTATTGAACACTTACTATTTGCCAAGCACTGAGCTAAGTGTTATGAATGTGTTAACTCCTTATATCCTCACAACTCTAGAAGATGGGCAAGGGTGGTAGGCAAAATATTGATATATAAGTATGACTAACACATGAATTAAACAGAACGGCCAAGAGCTTCTAATCAAAATGTGTGTTGGCTATCCATATCCAAGACAGCTATACAGGTGCATCCTGACTAATAGAAACTCTAGAAAGAATTTACCTGTGAGGAAACAAGAACTTTCAGAGGTCTTGTAATTGCTTATAATTGCACAACTAGTCAGTGGCAGCCTGAGAGCTGCCAATCTGGAACTGAAGCCCTGTGTCTTAACCATTATAGTAGTCCTCCTCCTAGCTCTGGATTTATGCAATTGCTCCTAATGCTGGAAATCAATACCCATCAATCAATACCCAAAGGATCCACGGACAGCTTAGAAGACTCCACATGCAACCCTAAGAAATTATCAGAACTGATATTGACAGAGCAGAAAGTCAGTAAACATCCAAGAATAACAAGATAAAAAGCCCCAATCAAAAGAACTGCAGAGAAAATTCATTCCACTAAAAATACTTGATTTTAGAAACATGATATTAGCTAAATGAAAGACAAAAAGGAGACTGCATGTAACTTTCTTTCTAATGAAGGATTTAACGCCATCTCATGCATGTCTTTTCATAAATCAAATTAATTAAGAGAGGCTTAGGTAATAGTCTCTATTACATAGATTGAAAAGTGACTCCAGGTGGCCTCTCTTCACACACCCGGGGTCTATTTTGGGGAGTCTTGATAGCTGAGAAGATGCCAGAGCTGGCACTCTGCTCTGTTGTATGCAATATCTTTATTAATGATGTATAAAAAGTGTCCTGGATGAATCTAAATGAAAACTGTGTCCTTAATGAATCTAAATGAAAATTATGGAGCTGAGTCTTTCCAGTGCAATTTCTAAAAAGGCACAGCGACGACACCTGAATGCCAAGCAGGGACTGGCTTTTCCCCAGCAGTTAATTAGAACTCAGGCCCTAAGCCCCGTGGGTCAGTTGCCCTGGCCAGCACAGTGGCAGGACAGGGACCAGAAGACAGGCATGGTCTTGCTTTCCTGGCCTGAGGCCAGAAAGCTCTTGCCCGCCTCTTGGTCCCTTCCTTTC